GGACTTCTGGTGCGAGTGTGAGCAGAGCTGTGCCTGTGTGCCTTGTGATGGACAGGATTCCCAGCCAGGGTGCATCCTGACTTGTGCCCACTGCTTGCATCCTCCACATCTCCGTATTGGATACGGTGGTAAGAGGATGAATTGGTAAACATTTGCTTACTCCTCATGTGGCAAAACAAAAGACTTCTTAATCCAGAGTGGTCCAAATCGCATGAATTTATAACAAAAAAAGAAAGGAAGACCATCATGCCTCTTGCATCTTGTGTCATGTGATGTGACCTGTGGCAGCCAGGGGAAAGGTGCTCTTTGACACATTTCATTCAAGCAAAAAGTGTTTGGTCTATCATTTCGGTCATCTTTTTCACCATGCCCCAAGATGATATAATTACTACCGCTAAGTTTATCGTGCTTAGACTGTGTCTAAAGGTTTTTAAAGCTCAAAAGTTTACAGTAGTAGTAGTTTTGTCATCACAAAAAAATGGCGTGAGGAAGCACAAATCCAAAAGTTATTTGTGGGAACATTGCAGCCCCATATAGTGTCTAGAAATATTTGAATTATGTCAAAGTCTGTCAATGGCCTTTTCGATTTTGTGACCACCAAAGCCTCTTATCAAGATGTAACCAGTGTTTCAGAGAGACACTTTCAAAGCGTTTTGAGGGATTTGAATTTTGAGGAAAGAATTCAGCTTGTGCTTTTGAATGTTTACAGTGACAGTAAGCAGATCACTGACACAATTGCAAAGCAGCTATTATGCAAGCTTGATACTACATGACAGGATCCGAATAAAGTTTTAGCATATCAGACGACAATGCCAGTGTTATTTACAGAAACCACAGTGTTCTTCAAAAATGGAAAAAATGCTTTAAAGATCATGGTTGCTGCAAACTGTTTCTGCAGCACATTGTAGCAGGAAACCTTGATTTTGATGTGGAACATATCATTCTCAAGGTGAGTGCCCATTTCAGAATTTCTGCTAGTAGAACAGAACCGTTAATGGCCTTTTGTAATTTTGTTATAGATCAATGCGATCCACTGTGGCACACTGTGACAAGACAGCTGACTCTGCTGCCATCTCCTGGCCAAATGTTGAAATGCGGGCACCCCTTGACAATCTAGTTTCATTGTTTAAAGACAAATGCACCCGAGTCCTATGGAAATGTTTCAGTGACATTTGTTTTCAGAGCTTAACTTTGTTTCTTAGCCAAGTTGTGAAGTTATCCAGAGGCTGTACTTAAACATTGGAAGCGAAGTCATATCGGCATCATCTCAGAGTATGAGTTCATGACTGACATCAACAGGGAACTTAACAGAAGAATCCAGGACTGGTTTTTATGGGTTTGGAGCTGAAGCAACTAGCCTCAGATGTTGCCACATGTGACTACATTGTTATGTAGTGCAGTAGTTTAATTACTCTGTAGATTAAAGCATTGATAAGGTCATAATTTGTTCTTTATTTTTTATTTGATTATATTGAGCAGAGAAACTTTCAATCAAGCAAAAAAAAAAAGTCAATATCAAACTTATCTAAAAAGACAAAAGGCAAAAGATTAGGTACCAATACTACATTCATTTTTCAGAGTCAAAATATGTATATCACATTTAAACATAAAGAAGTCATCTATAATGTAAATATGAGATTTAATTTGCAGTGACATTTAAATTATCGATGTTTGTAGAAGTAAATAGTTAATATATACTATATATTTATATATTTTTAAATATATATATTTTGAAAAAGAGAATCTTTTGTCTTCCACACAGAATATTAACTGTAGGACTAGGATTCAAGTCCAGAAAGCAGTAGTTTGAGACAACAGATAACTACAAGCAAGTACAGAGTGCTTGCTTTCACACATGGGCTGGAGTTCAGTGTGGTGGTCTGGGTGGAGTTTGATGTGGCCGTAGTAGCAGCGACTGCTTTGACGCCAAAGGATCTTGACTGCGCAGACACTTGATTCATAGTGAAGGTGAGCTTCAGGTCTGTGCCTTCAACATCAAAGACACAGTTAAAAGGTTAAAAAGCTGTACGATACGCCCTGATCTTCCCCGCAGACCTAGACCACATTAACATCTTCGAAAGTGATGCAAGAGTAACATGCACTTTACGACAAACTTAATTCAAAATCCTAAAAAAAAAAGATATTTAAAATAATTCCTGGCTACTGCAGAATTTAAACACCCGAAAATTATGTGACATCCTGTATTAAACAGGGTTTGCTGGGATCCAAATCAGAGGACAGACCTGTTGTAACTTATTGATTAAACCCTTGTGTTCTAAACATAAATTATGTATTAATTCCTGACTGCTAACTGTTATTTTTTACTAATGATTCAAATCAGAAAGTATTGCCAAGTCTTGGGTGACTCAAACATGTAGACCTTGGTTCACCTTTGTGTGGCAAAACCCTTCAGAATGGACACGAGATGTTATGGCAGACTTTACAGCCGCGTGTGGAAATATACATACCAGTTGCATTGAGGGAGAGGTCGGTGTAGTTAGCCCAGCAGCTGCTGAAGAGGACAGTGGTGTTCCCATTCAGTCCTGAAATGCTTGCACCAGTAGAGGCTGTGAGTACTGCAGTAAGGGTGAAAGACGTGACTCCTACAGACACACAGTTGCCCTGTGGGAACATAAAGAGTGTCGAAATGTTTACAAGTGAAAGGAGACTCCATCTGGCCACTTCGCTTGGTTAGATTTTCACTTGCTAATTTATCTATGGATACCAGAGTGGGAAACAGCTTCAACAACTTGGTTGGGAGAACTGGAGAGCTCTATTTACTGATGAATTTGCGTTTTGGTGAACGTTATGCTGCCTGTTGTGCTTTGTGCTGCTCAATAGGGGGTATTGAAAGTGTGACGATGTGGGGAGGAATTCCCTTTAACATAAGAATGTCCTCAGTACTGCCTCTCAGTGATGTATTGACAGCATTCTCAAGCTAACAGCTTTTTGGAGCAACTGGATAGTAAGCGGTACCTTTGGGATATGCAGAACCCTATAGCTATCACTAAAAATACCACTCATCCTGGTTTCTCATTTTTCTCCCCTCTTCCCTCTGGTAAGCGTTATAGGAGCACAAAGGCACAAACTTCCAGATTCAAAGACAGTTTCTTCCCACAAGCTGTCAGATTACTGAACTCTACCCTTACCACTGGCTCACATTTTTTTTTAAATGTCTATGTTATTTAACTTGTTGTTGTTGTTGCTGCTGCTGCTGCTGTTCTGTGTTTATGTTACTGGTGATTACTGTCTTTGTATTGGAGCATACAGTACATGCAAATTAGCATTTCATTGCACTTGCGCCCATGACACTGAACCGAACCTTGGAGAAAATAGATTTGTCCAGGTGAACCAGATTCGCTGCACTGCAGCACTTTATATGTACTTAAATTATTGGAAATCTTTGGGGTTTGATCTTTGCCAGCCTTAGCCACACACACACACACACACACACACACACACACACACACACACACACACACACACACACACACACACCACAGAAAGTTTCGTAGGGGTGGCACAGTGTTTTATAGCAAAATGTCTTAACCTGCTGTTGTGTACCACTGTGATCATGGTATTACATTCCCTCATTGTAATTATGTTTAAAGAAATCTAATTTTCTACCCCTAAGATCTGAAGGAAGACCCACTTACATTAGAATCTACGGCCATGACTGCAGGTTGTTGGCTCAGAAGCTCTCCATTCCCTCCAGCTATTGGATGAACCACCACAACCAGAGCAGAGACAGCCGACACATAACTCACACTAGGATCTGTTCTGCTAACGTCTTGTGTAGCAACCTAGGGCATGCAAAAAAAAACAAATTAGAGCAAACTCCACTTGGTGCATCATGCACTTTAATCTTCACTTGATGTCCTCTTCACTATCAAATTACTCCTGAATATATATAAGCATAACTCTCTTCATGCAGGAATGTGGAACTTGCAATTATTTGGTTCACGTCAGTACTCAGAATTGAGTAACAAGAGTTGTACTGGGCACATCAAAAAAGAGAAGACCTATAAGCAGAAAAAGCTATCTGATAATGTACCTTATTGAAGCCTCATAAAATGCTAGAGTTAGTAGCTACAAGTGACGATTCCACATCAGGTGGTCAATAAAATAACTGTGGATTCTACCTTTTTCTAAAATAATCCATATCTTTAAATCAGGTTAACTGATCCTCAATCTAGACAGCTCAGTGGTAAGCATTGCTGAGGCCCTGGGTTCAGTCCCTTGGGTGGTATCTGTGTGAAATCTGCATGTTCTCCCTGTGCTCACGTAGGTTTCCTTCGGGTGCTCCAGTTTCCACCCACAGTTCAAAGATGCATTGGTAGGTTAATTGGCTTCTGGGAAAACTGGCCCTGTTGCGAGTGTGTGCTCTGTGATAGACTGGCATTTTGTCCAGAGTGTATCCTGACTTGCACCTCTGGACCCTTGCCTGCCAGGATGGGCTCTGACTCCCCTGGGACCCTGTATTGGATAAAGCGATTGGAAGATGGACGGACGGGTGATCCTCAATCCTACCTGGCTCCAGGAGCTGTCTGTAGATGGAGGTACTGGAGGGATGACTCCAATGGACGAAACATTGAACTGGATAGACTGGCTCAGGTTTCCCGAGATCGATGCCTGGGCTAAACTATCGGCAATGTTTTTCAACGTGTCAAATTGTTGTTGCTCTGAAATGAAACAACCGGAAGGGTGGGACATTTCAAAAGGAATCAAATCATAAGACCACGAACATCTGAAGACACACCAGCCCTTCCCGACCAGGACTGCCCATCTTCTTTGATACCAAGTGCAACACAGAAGAGAAGATTTCATAAAAACGGAGACTCTTACGTGTGGTGGAACTGTTGGTTAGATTTTGAGATGGCGGCTGACTGATCTGCACTTGGACGGATAGTCCCGCGGCTCGTTTGCGCCGCCTGCTGTCTTCCCTCACCACCTTGGTGATTCGGATCATTCCTGGCGGGACTTTGAGAAACAGGGCCAGGTTTTGCACCAGTTTGTCCCCGTAGAACTCGTCAACGGTCATTGCAGGCAACCGGAAGGAGATGAACAGAAGAGGAGAGGTGCGGATCTCCACCGGAGTGGACCCTCTCACTAAAATATTAAGCATCTTGTAGGTGCTCTCAAAGAAGTTGTCTCCATAGACCATTGAATCCATTTGTGGGATGTAGTGCCCTGGGACGAGAAGACCAAAAACATTTTGACCTTAACAGCTTCTTTCAAGGAGTGTGTCCAGAAAAAGCAGGAAAGTTGTTTTAAAAAATAGAGTTTCAAAATACAAACACCCATACTGTGCAAAGAAGTATCGTTAATCATCACTGATGATTCGCAAAAAAATTTGAAGAGTTAATTTGATCTCATTTAAAAGATGTCATTATAAGGATAAAACCAGAATATCACTCTTCCAGAAAATTGTACAGGAATCCACATACTCTGCATGCCATATCAAGTTCTGCGCAGTGCCATTCCAGATTATAGGTGAACAGAAGGCAAATTTAATGTCCTAATATGTTCTTCTGATACTTGCCCATAATTCAATAAATCAGAAGTGAAAATTGTTAACAGGAATATTAGTATTAGGGGGAGAGTGGTGGCTCTGTGGCTCAGGATCTGTGCCTGTGGTTGGAAGGTTACCGGTTCAAATCCCGTAGCCGGCAGAGGAATCCTACTCCATTGGGCCCCTGAGCAAGGCCCTTAACCCCAACTACTCCAGGGGCGCTGTACAAATGCTGACCTTGTGCTCTGATCCCCAGCTTCTCTCCCTGTCTGTGTGTCTCATGGAGAGCAAGCTGGGGTATGCTAAAAGATGAATTCCTAATGCAAGAAATTGTATAGGGCTAATAAAGTCATGTTATGATGTTATGTTAGTCTTACTGAAAGTTTCTATTTTAGCAGCAATCATTAATTACATTGCAGAATTTAACGTAACGTAGGCCAAACCAGACAAAGGCAAAAAATATATTGTAAAAGGACTACCTCCTGCTGACTTTCCTACATTTGTAAGGAAAACAGGGCCTTGTAAGCAGGATACCTGGGTAAAGAGGCTCTTCTAAGGTGTAGTCCGTGTGGTCAGCATTCCACTTTGCGTTCGTTGGTGCCACCAGGTTATTTTGCACGTAAACATCCAAACGTTGAGGACTGGAATAAAACACTGCCACACGAACAGCCTGAAAAGCACACATGTTTACATTATGAACCAATACAAAGCATATTTCACTGAAATACGTACTATAAACATCAACAACAGTGATTCCGCGTCTTAAAAGTTGAAAAAGTAAAACGTAGCTGACCAGGATTAAAACATTTAGTGAAAAGATGGTTACCACTAATGGGCTACTGCGTTTTGCCTTTTTGTGTTTTATCTATGAGACTTGTGAATTTATGGTTTCTAAACGTTTACTGTATATTAATAGCTCTATTTTATTCTTCCATAAACAGCCAAGTAACAGGGAGTTGCTTTTTAAGATATTGTTGCATGTCAGCGGGTAGCCAAACTGAATTTACCATCAAATCACCCGAGGCTAACAAGGAAATCATGGACAGCTTTGAGGAATACTAGCAAAATCTTTTTTACTGATCAGTTCATTTGAGGTAGTCACCATGGCCAAAAATCAAGACAGCCAAACTGTTACATTTACAGTATCTTTAATTCAGACTAATTCTGTTACATTTTTAACAGAGAAAAAAAGAGGATAAAAAGTGAAAGAAATACACAATGTAAAACTAGAGAGAAGCAACAGCAAAACACCTTCAACAGACCAACAGACTGAATCTCTACAATAATTTAGAGCACTAAGAAGACAGGACACTAGGCCATAAGAAAGGGACGAGAAAGTTTATATGTGTTGAAAATACTGATAATTATTTGTGTCATGCTTCAGACTAGGAGGAATCTCCTGATGCATTATTTTGAATTGGGAAATACTGTAGGTTCCTTTATTTGCTAAGAGACAGCTTTCCTCTTTTCTCATTCACTGTGGCTCTGTTCCCAGGAAGAGTTCTGCGAAAGACATACAGTATGAATTATACTGAACTCACTTTAGTGCTGTCAGCATTGAGAAGCATGAAGCGAAGATTCTGAGGGGTGGTGCTGGTGAAATAGATGTCAAATGACTTATTGCTGGCCACAATGCTGTGGAAAAGAGAGACTCTTTTCTGACATGTATATCCTGCACACCAGCCATGATCCTGAGGGCCTGCCAAGTTAAATAAGAAAACAAAGACCAAGGGGTTAACAATACCCAGTCTTCATAGACACCATCTCACTAAATCACGAAGATTTAATAGCAGGCATTCACTGCTCAATTTCCCCCTGTGCTGTTCTATACTTACAGGTATCAGCGGTATGCATCACCTCTAATTCATTGTGTCTGAGAAACAGCTTTTGTATTTTGAAGAATCTGCTAATACTGGTGTAAAACAAACTATCACACTTAAAATTTGGAATGAGCAATCATTTCTATTATTATCAAATACCCACATAATGTGTGATTGTCGATTGTTTTGAGCACTTGTTCAGGAGAGAATGTAATATGTAGACATACTGTATTCCTCTAGCACACCTACTTGAAGAGTCATTTTGTTGTTCAACATGATGAAATCCTTGCAGGGGAGCTAGCACTGACAACATTGCTGGCCTGCAGCTGCTCAGCAACACACTGTGAGAGCTGTTAGTAATAGGAAGGCCTGGAAGACCCTGGAAGAATAATCTCAAGCTGACAGCAGCACAACAGCTTGTGGAATCCTGGTCATTGCTGTCAAGCTTGATCTATACTAAAATATTTTTCCACAATTAAAAGAAAGAGAGATCTCTGTAGTTGCATGTTTTCATACCTCTCTTCTTATTAAAGCTAGCTTTAGAAGTTATATATGATATAGAGTCATGGTTTCATTTAACATGCGATCAGACTCTTATGGGAAAACGAGTGCATTGGACACATGCAATGAAAACTACTTAGAACCCACGAGATGTATCAGAGTTTTCTCATTCTCTCTTCTTACTCTGAGAAATGTTGCATGACAGCGTTTCTTCCATTGTGATCACAAAGTAAGGTTTTGAACACGGCTACTGTATAAGCATGTCCTTACCGTTTATGAGATCAATGTAACGATCCCCCAGTACAGCCACTGGCGACAGGCGTCTGGTCTCTGTGTCGGCATCAAGGCTTTCAATTGCCAACATCTCATAGTTGAGACCGAAGCATTTGTAGCTCTGCCAGTCACTCATGTATGTGCAATTGGCGTCCCTGATTATTCCTTGAAGAAAGATGAAATATATTCTCATTACTGTGATTTGTGTTGATCTGCGTTACGCTTGAGAATAATGTACAAAATATAAATAACGCCTACTTTCACACATAATTACTGCGCCCCCTGCCTTGCAGCATATTCAAGTTCAAGTTCACGTTTGTCATTCTAGCCATATACAAGTATACAGTGGAACGAAATATCGTTCCTCCTGGTCCACGGTGCAAATACAGACAGGACACCGACATAGACATTGTAGACAGGATCCACACAGTGCCTTAAAACAGTACTTCCACTTATTATGATAATATGTGTTCCAAATTATTAGATTAAACATGCCAGTGTTTAATGTATGCAAGCGTAAGAATGTGCTGGATTAAAAAAGCCTTTTCTCAAGATGGGCATTTGGATTGTGTGATATAATCGTTCTGCGGTGAAATTTGTTAATGATAGGAGGACTCAGGTTCATCCAATCATACTCGCTCAAAACCAGTGTTAGATCTGAAGTCAGTTCTCCAGTCAAACTAAGAATTTCTAAAAGCCATACAGTCCTAAAAAAGCATACAGACCTTTATAGGGTGCCACTTGGCTAACTGGTATCCGGCTGCCATTCAGGAAAGTGAGCATTATTTTGGGAATCCTGTAATCTCCCAAACCTCGACGCTTGTCTCCATTCCACTCGTACTCCGACTGGGGAACCACAGCACCCACTTGCCCAAGGAAGGAGCCATCCAGGTCTTTGAGCAGAGCTTTCTTTTTTGCATCACAGTCCATATCCACACAGTCAGAAGGATTGACCTTGCTGAGGGCAAACACACACAGCATGGTCAGTATCGCACAGTTCCCTGTCGCCTTACTCCCCTTGGGTCTGAAGAGCATCTAGTCCCAGAAAGAGCCGAGTTATCTTTCAGTATGTGCGGAAGAGAATAAAATGAGTATTTTGTTCATCATTTAAGAATGTGATCATGAAATGTTTCTACAACATGATACGAATCTGCATTCTAAATCATTGGGGAGATCTGTGAAGCTAAGAAAACATATAAAGGAATTCTGGAATATTCCCTCCTCTCACTGCTTTCTAATGTTTAGTCACACTAATTATTCCTTCTGCACAAAGGTCAATGTTTCCATCTGTAAATGGGATCTTAACTCATATTGTTCAATCAGCCTATCACAACTTTGCTACTGTACTTCTTTGAAACAATATCTAGAATTGCACTACTTACGTCTGAGACAGAATGAACATTGCAACTTTCTCATCCATTTTTATACAATCTTCTTGCCAAATGTGACTCTTCCCACTAACACTTACTGGGCCATATAATACTGATGTTAAAAGAATTCAGTAAAATTGTCACTTTGCTTTACAATGTTACATTAGGAGAGGTAACTTATTTTCATAAATATCAATATCTACTATAAATTCTTAAAACATTTTTTCAGCTTCTTTTGGTATAAAACTAGTATGTTTTAATATTGTAAAATCCTTTTTACTTACACATGAATATGAATGTCCTTTTCACACAGTGACCATTTCCATACAGTAACTGCAAACTGAAAATCACATGAATTAATAAGCGGCCTCTTCACTCACCTCAGGTCAGGTCTATGTATGAAAACCTTGGCAGTCTCCATGTAGTCGACCATTCTCAATCCTTGCACGTGAACTGGGTGCTGTAAGTCTTCATTTCCAGGATTGGTCATGAACATCACATTCATCTCTTTTGAGCAGACACTCTTAAATCCCACAAGTGTGGTATCTTTAAAGAAACGATTATTCAATTTCAAGAGGTCTTGTTACAGGCAGAAGATGTTCTCAAAGATATACAGCAGTTAGTCATGTCCGCGACCACACTAACAGTGGAAGATATTTTCTCCTGAAACAGTTTTGATGGGGGACCTTTTGCTTAATGGTAGATTGAGGATAAATAGATGTGACACTGCCGATGGTACTTGAACATACATTATAACCACAGGGGATTATAGAAACTAGGAAACTGTTCTCTTAAGTATTTTTTTTAAGGCAGTGACAAAACAACTGATGAGTAAATAAAGCAGTTGAAAAAATGCCAACCTAATTCTGAATACATCAGAGAAAAAGATGCATGGGGCTGATAAAGTGGTTAGCTTTGCTGACTCTCAGCACTGAGGTTCAAATCTTGGGATGCTATCTGCACAGGGCCTGTATGTTCTCCCAGAGTTCACATGGGTTTCCTCCAGTTGCTCCAGATCCTTTTCACAGTCATACACAGACTTGTTGCTTAACTGGCTTCTGGGAACACTGACCCTGGTGCGAGTGTGTGCGTGTTTGTGTCTGTGTGTGTGTGTGTGTGCCCTGGTGTCTCATTCAGGTATATCATGCCTTGCTCCTGGTGCTTGTCGCTTGCCAGGTTAGGCTCCGGCTCCCTCTACAACCCCAGACTGCATAAAGTCTGTTAGAAAATTTATGGATGGAAAACTGTGTGCTTAGAACTGAGTTTTTCGCCAAACTGAAAAGCAACCACTACGAATAAGAAACTGTTATCCCAACTTGTTATGATGGTAGAGCAGCACTTATTCTGATCCTCAGCAGAATAAATGAAATAAGCAAATACAGAAAGGTAGCGATTTACAAGCTCCACCTGTCTGCTAGGTGGAGTACTAACCTGGTTTCCAAAGGATATTTAAGACCCCATTTGCCGGTCATCTCTGCTCAGTCTTCGAGGGTCATTGCTCTAATCTCAGTGATCCTGATTTCCTTCTGTGCTCGTCTTTTTCTTGGCTACGGACCTCACTCGTGTTTTGACTCCCCTTTGCATTTTCCCTGCACTTAGCACTTATTTTCTGGGATTTGATCTATGTTCATGCCTTGCTTATGCATCTGGGTGCCCCAGTGTGCTTTTGCTGTCCTGCTGGCTATCAGCTCAGTTGATTATCTGGCCTCAGCTTGGATGACTATCTGCCTGTCTGTTTGCTCTGTCTTGCACCTGGGTCACCTTACTGCCTTAGGATGCCGCTCGTGGTCAAGTAAGAGCAGTGGTTACAAATACACACTCTCTGCAAGGAATACTGCAAGCATCAACACATTACAAACACTGGAAGCTAAACTTTTCTTCTTCCGGATAGTGACTGCCTTAATAAGATAATAAATAATTATTATCTCCCGCTTTTAACTTTATATTCTAAAAAAACCCAAACACACCTGGGGTCAACCACAACCCTGGATGATATCAGACAAGACAAATTTCGTCAATACATGGTTGCTTGGTGCAGCAGCCGAAAAACAGACAAGCTACTTACCCACAATGTGTCATCAAAAGAATTTACGGTATATACAGTATTCCACAAATGCCTGCAATGTGTTTTGTGGTTTGCTTTTTTTTAAATAATGGTACTACATTTAGTATCACTTAAAAAATAACTGTGATACTCACTGGTCACGGTCATGAGCCCACTGATAGCATTGTAGCTCATCAGTCCTGCATGAGGTTTTCCTGGTGCCATATTGTGATCAGAGGCGAAAGTTGGCCAACAAAATCCACTTCTCCCACCTAGACAAGCACAGAGCAAAGCAGTGTTTCAGACACATCTGCTAGATTCTTTATGTGTGCAACAGGTGTGTTAACATCTTAGAAATGGAAAAAGACATACCCCCTGTATAGAGATGGAAACACTACATTGAAAGAAGGCGCCATTATTTGGATGAGATGTAAAACCGAGGTCCTGACTCTCCGTGGTCATTTAAAATCCCAGGGCGTTTCTCAAAGAGAGTAGGGGTGTTACCCCGGCATCCTGGCCAAATTTCCCCCTGGCCTTCACCAATCATGGCCTCCTAATAATCCCCAACTATGAACTGGCTTCATCTGTCTGTTCTCGTCCTCATTGATAGCCTGTGTGTGGGGAGTGTACTGGAGCACTTGGGCTGCCATTGCACCAACCAGATGGGGGCTACATATTGCTGGCGGTGGAGGGGAGTCCCCATTACCTACAGTATACAGCACTTTGAGTGGAGTGTCCAGAACAGCGCTATATAAGTGTAAGGATTATTAATTTATTTTAGATAATTACCTGTTAGAGGCCTTGGAGCCCTGTGACTCATACTGAGCTTCACATTGGCATCGCTGCTGGTAAGGACCTCAGAGCAATCGAAGTTAGGGCTACTTCCCACTATCAGAGAGTTCTGCACAAAAAGAAAAAACAAAATTTCGCAATCAGTCAAAACGTGTTGGCTGTGAATAATACAGCTTAATACGCGAGCTTTGCATGATGGCATGGTTTTCGCATAGTACCTTAAAGTGAATGATTTCACAGCACATCTCAACACATATATAGTAACCAAAAGACCCTGAGAACCCATCATCAAGATTTGCAAAATTATGATTTTGATATAAAAGGAAGCTGTATGCTATTGGGTTTCTAATACCATCTCGCAACATCATTCTCAAATCTACTTTTTAACCTCCTAAACCAACAAGCACGGCTTGTGACAGAATATACATTCAATAAACACAAAATAGCTGTCAATATATACTTGATAGATATTTAAATATAAATTAACATGGTTTTGTCCACTTTACTACAGACTACATCTAGATCACACTTTCAAATCATTCATGTTTAAGAAATCTGGACACAGCCTGTGCAACTGTAGGAAATGACGGTTCCTTCCTTAGATTGACCCCTCCGAAATGTTCTGCAGGTGAATCTTTGGGATGTTTGGAATTTCCAAAGATATCCATTCTGAATATATATTTTCCCCAATGCATTCATGATAAGAGAGCAGGCTGTTCACGACTAAATGTCTATATAAAAAAATGCCAGAGGTGTGTAAAAAACACCTAAACTTGAGAGAATAATCGCATCTCTCTGCTCGGGTCTCCAGAAGGATTTTCAGATTCCTCTATACAAAACAGACACGGAAATGCACTGTAACACGGTAGCATCTGTACAGCTCCTTCGTGGAGTCAGTGACGCCGTTTTTTTAAACAAACTTTAGTCAAAGTGGGACACGGTGTGAAACAACAATTCAACAAGGTCAGCTTCTTACCTGGATCTGAACGGTTTTGTCAGAGTACTGATGTGACACTGAGGGGGGGGTGTATATGATCGGGAGAACTCCCATTCCGTTGTCTACTAATGTGACATCCGAGATTTGGATGCTCATTACCGTCTGTAAGAAAACAAAGTATGGTTAAAATGGCACAAACACATCACTGAAGCTCTGTACAAAAGCCCTCCTCTCATTTATCTCGGTTGCTTTAATACTGTTTTATTTTTCATCTCAATTCTAAACACATTTCATTTAATCTCATTTTAAAGTGTCTTTTATTCTCCAATATTGAGTGAAATGGCAAATACAAGACACTGCCTAAAATACAGTACTTTGCCGAAGGTTGAGCTCGCCACATTCCATTCTATTCAGAAACAGAATTTTCCTTTTTTGTGTTGTTTTTTTCCATATGTTTCCTAGCCTTGGTAGCGTTTGCAAACATTCTTACGAGAGCATATACCATCACAGGAAAAAAAAAGGTTGTTATAATAATAGTTTGACATCACTGCGTAGGGCATCACAACAGCTAAAAAAATGTTCTTAGTTTTAAATCCCTCTTTTATTCATTAAGTTATCAGATTCAGTCGGATGACCCCAGAACTTTACCTGGAAATAGATGCCATAGTCCCAGCACTTCCAGACTGTGAAGCCTTGAATGAGAGAGCAGCTGGCAAGACCATCTTTGTTCATGTACACCCCATACAGTCCCCCATGAGCCTCATTGCCGTGCCAGCTTTCAACCGGATTGAATGTTCCTGAAAGAGACTTTTAATGAGCATGTGTGTGCTGGAAATACCAACAGACAAAACGGTCAACAACCTACAGCATTTGAATTATTCTCTCTCCTACCAAGTCTTTCAAAGTGTAGCACGAAGGAAAGCATTTAGAGTATTCTCTCAGCATTGCCATTAGTCATCGGGAGCTTAATGAAAATCCTTTAGTGAAAAAGCTTTGTTAATATGGCTCACCAGGCAAGCTTTAACTCACTATTTTTTAGGGCGAAAAAGCATTACCTGGACAAGGTTCTCCGTTAATATGATATGCCACTCTCTCAAACCCAGCCACAATGTTGTCCTGAAGCACGATATTCATTCCTTCATTAACCTAAGGAAGAGATCAAAACTAATGTTGGGAAAACAAATGTCATTCTAGATTTCTACATAAGCTGTCAAAAGGAGCTCTGAACATTTAAGCATTTGGTTCTCATTTTCTACCTTTTTATCTTGTTTTGATGTGGTAAAGGCCTGGAATGACACTTTCTAAATACGAGTTGATTTAATTGTAATTATGACAGCGTATACAGGGAGATGTACCTTACCGTATATTTATAAAATATACAGGTCACAAAATAAACGAATTTTGGGTAATGGCAGAATACAGCAAATAAGGGCCATAGAATTCAAAGAGCTTGTTTGGTATTAATTTGATAGAAGATGGAATGTTGTCATATGTGAGATTCTGAAAGTGCTTACTTCAATGGCAGCATGCCACAGAGAATTCAGCGTCTCCTCTCTGTCTTGATAGCTCCCAGGCCACACCGCCACAGTCACCAGATTCCTCCTGACTTTGATATTACTCCCCCAAACTCGGATACCTGTCATGCACACAAAAGCACCAGTTGACCATTCTTGAAAGCGAGATGAATTTCTTTATTTCTGATAGCAATTACCATCCGGCAAATCGAATAGAGATATGTGCAGCACAAAATAATCACAAGTATGATTTAATATTAAAATCGTCTTGAACTCAAGGGAAATTAACACTTTTCACTGAACTGGGATCTAATGAACAATCAATGAGAGCTAATTACTGTTTAAAGGTAGGTACAGTATTTGGAAACTGAACACCAAACACGAAGAGTCCCAAGGATTTTTAAACACCACTGACTGTGATTAGTTGGTTACCTTCTCCTACTGTGAAATAAATGACATTGTCATCTATATTCATCCCATCAGTTCCGAAGACACCAATAGCTGGGGAAAAGCCATGATGGAATGAACAGCCTTGAACATAGGAATCATTGGCTGATACCTGGGAAACAGAATTTTAAAAAATACACACAACGTAAGCTGATGACGTCTGCTGGTGCCAGGCTCATGACAGAAAACAACTTCAAAGGGCACTACAGTATCTTGCTATGAGGCAAGCTGGTATTTCAAATTGAGATTTATGTGTAATATTTGTGAAAAAGGAAGAACATACAGGATGTAGGCATGACTCCAAATCCCCAAAGAGCAGAGATGGTACAGACTGTAAAATTAACAAGTATGCCTTGAAACCGGGGGAGAACGTTCACTGCTGAATTCATAACAGCCTGATTTTAAGTCAATTAAAGCTCTTGACATGTCGGGTAAGGAAAAATAATTTAACAAAAAGTTTTGCGTGCTGATTCTAAGCAAGACACAAGGAAAAGAGAACAATAATATGGAATTGTGGTTTTCTATTTCATCTCAGAAATGATATATATATATATCTCAAATTATTGCATTTAATAGATAATATATACAGTAACTCAATAACCCAAATACCAGTATAGTATATTATTCACTTCTTCTTAGTGTTTTATAAGTGCCTGTATGACCAGCACTATACTGTAACTGGGGCAGATCAGTGGGGAGAGAGGCATCAGAGCCATCACTATCTCATTGGCAGGCAGTGAAATGTGTTGTCCAGTACATTTCTTCAATGGGACTAGATGAGGGATGCACCCAACTCTATTTACACAGAAAGCACATGCCCACAAACCTGTCCCAGATCCAAGAATGCCACTGAGTATCTTGGGTCAAAGGAGTCTTGATAGCCCTCCTGTCCAGTGTGGTAGAACTCCACGTTCCTGATTTGGGCATTTCCTAAAGGGAGCAGGACATGTGAATGAGTTCTGTTTTCAAGCTTGGAGTAAAAGGAGTTGCTCTTTAAGCAGTTTATCTCCTGTATTATAACATAAAGCAAACAGATTGTCAAGATTCTAAAAACAGAAAACATATTTTTACATTAATATTTAATGTTACAGATTACAGGTTAAGGACGCATCAGTAAAAATAAGACAAAGGTTTGCTATACTTTTACTTTTTATAACAGTTTGCCCAATCATCATATTTCGCCCATCGTACTATGAGCAAACATCAGGCTTTGATTCAGATATGATTAGTGTGATTGCAGCAGTGAGCCCTTGACTGCTCCTACTCATTGATAATTCCCAAGTTAATATTAATCTTCAGACATGCTGGTTTTTGTTCGTGGGTCAAATTAAGTGTTGTACTGTATTTGGAAATCTCACATCTTAGAAAATGTTTGCCTTAACTTTTAAAAAAGCATCAGTACTGATGCTAAATGTACATGTAATGTACAACAACATAACAATTGTTAAAATCCAAAGGCTTCAAGGATTAAATTAGACCCTGACAAACTATTGATGAGAATATGAAGTGATGTCTAGAGTGAAAATGGCAAACAATGTTATTTTCAGGAACAATGCAAGTTCAGTACATAAAACATTATGATGCAAGAACAGCCCGTCCTTATGTAAGTAAGAAATAGTGAATTGTTTACCTTTATACACATACACTCCATTCGAGAATGAACCGACCAGAACTCTGGCTCCAAAAGATTCCTGGTACCACCCAGGGTAGTCTTGACCAATGATCTTAATGTTCCGACTGAGAAGGCCAACGTCTGCAGCAAGTCTATACTGCTGGCCAGTTTCTGATACATTGACTGTCTCAGCTGAAAAAAAAACAGAAAGGAGAGATTATGTTAATGATTTTATTACAGCGTGTGAAATTACATTTATTCATTACATCTAAAATCATTTTATAATAAATACAATGTCAGTATTCAATACATTATTATACAATGGCTTCAGCTAGGCTCATTCATGTCACACAGATGTTTGTCTGTTTAAGTCCTCATCCTGAAGATGTACTGTGTATGCCGTAAAGGTTTCAAATTCTTTCACAGGAAATAGAAGCGAATACTGTACCTCACATACTGTAGTATCGTTTTCATAGTAACATAAACTGCACGTTTCAATTTATGTTCTCATTTACCACAAATTATGTGGAAGAGAACAGAATGCAAACAACATCTACATTTTTTTAGCTTCTTTTTCAAATCAATGACTTGCATTTCAAGTTTTAACCTGGATTAATATTCAGAATAATGGAAAATGTGAGGTTTCCCAACTTGATAAAGGTTATCAGGAACAAAATGTGCTATGTAAAGTATCATCTGCTTCAACTTGCTTAATGTTCTCTGGCATTTTAATTCAGTCAGACAATATTTAATTCAAGTTAAATATTACTCCCAAGTTGGGGTTACAGATTCAATCAATGTTTCCTTTATAAATACAGAAACGGGTAACACTGTTAATCAATTCCATTGTCTAGCAATTCCTTTGCACTGGTTTCTAAACAAACCAAAATTATTTGGGCCATTTTAGCATTTTTTTTCAGAACAGACTCACCAATGTGCGTATATGAAAGAGACTGGTTTAATGTCACATTCCGTCCATCAGCTGAAATCATTGCAATCTTTCTGATTTCAGTTTGCCAGGTGTCATAACTGGTTGTTGTGATTACTAGATCATCATCCACCTAAGAGAACGTGCAGACATTGCATGAGAGTTCTTCACACTAAATAATTGATTTCATCAACGTTTGAAGAAATAGTTGCTTTGGCACTAAAGCAATCGGAACAATAGAACCATAAAATGCTTGCATGCATACTTAGTTGCTTTTGATATTATATGATGTTGTAAAACAATTTTAAACACGTACATTTTTGTTCGTTCATGTTTTCACAACACGTTAAAACTTTTTTTTGACAAAAAGATCATTTGAGGAGAATAATTTTACCTGGAACCAAACAGTTTGGAAATGACATATTAAGTGCTTGGCCATGAAAACAGCGTCATTAAAAAATGAAAGAGATGACATCAAATTTAAGATGCTGACCTGCCAGTCCACAGACTCCTCTAGCAATATGTTGAAAGACCCTGCTCCTGCTGAGGCAGCCAGCTTTGTGTGGTACACAGACCGAGGCAGCCCATGGAGTTGCAGTGTGCCGAAGACACCTGAAATTCAATCCAGAACAAGACACAAAACCCTTCCTGTGAGGTTTTGATGCTTCCATTACAGTTTTATTAAGATTGAAAAACAGTTTCTACATTTAAAAAATTACAATTGCATGTATCAATGCCTAAGATACACGAAAGAAGAATTCCTCACAAAATAATTGCAGTAGCTAAGTCTGGATTGGAGTAATGTGTTATTCGGGAAAATTGTGATTCACTGTGAACATTGCGATTAACAAAAACACATTGTTCTGCAAACAAAATGCTGGATGGGAGACCATAAAACCTGTTTGTACTCTGGATCTCTATCCTTGACCACTATCCTCACTATCAATATGAATGTATACAAACTTTTCAAGACAATGAAATGTTTTCTGATAAAGAACCCACTAACAAAGCATTAAGTCATCTTAATACAAAGGATTAAGATGTACTAACATCTTCCTATTTTCATTGCTTGTACAACACATGATTTTTCATATGCTGCATTTTGTATTGGTATAATAACATTCTTTATGTTATATATTAATATATGTTAATAATTGATTATTTTAAAGAGAATCTACCACAAACAACTTCAGCACTGCAAGTTCCCCCGCAAACATAAGTAATAACGAGAACTAAAACAGCAACAATGTACAAAGACTGTAGAAATGTGGAAAGACTAGTTTTATATAAATCTATTCTATAAAAATGATTTTACAATCTCAATCTTTGACTTCAGGTGGGATGTACTCTATATTTCCAGAGTACACTTCACGATAGTGTGCACCTAGAATAATAGTGACACACTAAACTCACTGTAATATACAGTAGCATTGGGAATTACAAAAAAAAATATTGCTGGGTCTCACTGTTAGACAACTGGCTGTGATTTAGCTTGTCAGCTTTTAAAGTTGTGCCTGTGCTAACCCATGAACTTACCCAACACCTTCGCTCCCTGATTGGGGCCATTTGGCAAAGGCCAGTCAGGAGTGAAATGATTCCCTCTCAAGACTATTTGCAGTTCACCTCTAAAAGGTTGATCACTCCACCCTGCAATGAGCCTGCCACCCTTTAAAACAAAAAAACGTGATTAATGGAGCTAATTATACAATTGATTTTAATGGACAAAATGAAGTCATATTCCTGTTGAATTAAAAAGTATCTGAAGTGTGTTTAAATTACTAAGGTAGTTAATAAGTAAGATGGGCTGAGTGTTGTCTTCTCATACAGCATGTCATCTTATGTTCATAAAGTATCTGATTTGCCATATATAAATACATCATGTGATACTCTTCTTGGGTTTTTTCAACAGAAACATACTAAGATATCAGACAAAAATTTTGCCTTGAAGGCAAATCAGCTGTTCTTGGTTTAGGAGGATTAGGAGCGTGGGTAAACAGTTGTAGATTGGTACAGTATATCAGAACTATAAGGATCTTCTTGAGTACATTAAGAGAACAGAGGAAAGAAGGAAGAAAGCCTTATACTGTATCAAATCCTATATAGATTTTTGTATTTGATTGCACAATGAACAGGCATTCCACATTCATGATACTGTACATCAAGACTCAGACTCAGTTCAACTTTTTGATATCTGACTCGTCAACTGGTGGATGACCGTCTTTTTTTATTGGAGACCACCTAGTGTCTACTTTCTACTCTATATGACTTTTGCTTCCACAAAAACATTCTAAATCCTTCACAAATGGAAGATACAGTAAAAGCACAGTAGTGTCTTCACTTCTTAAGAATAATTAGTGACTGACTGCATTTTGGGTAAAGACCGTAAAGGATAAGCCTCAAAAGTATTTTTGAACGAAACATTTGTAAACAATGCATGTAATTCTGTCAAAAAAAACTTGAACAGTTTTGCAATTTACCTGAATTGATATATAAGTTGCATTTAGAATGATCTTCCTAAACGTGGAGGTAGTATTTGCAGCAGGTGCAGATGGAGCAGTTATGTTGTCAGGCAATTCCAGAACTCCGTACACAGTGATTCGGTTAAATGATGGAATGTCAATATCTAGAACCATCCATATCCCTGCAGAGATGAAGCAAAACTTCAGGTTAACAATCACTGGTACTTGACAGGAAATTACTGCTTTGAGGGAATCTGTGAAGCTAGCTTTAAATTGCCTATTTTTGTTGATCAAAGGGCATCCAACAGACCTTGGCTTGATTGAAGGTGTCAACGGTGAGACCCTTAAAATAGTTCAGGATACTGTAAAACAGCTTGACGGTCAGGAATCAAGCTCTTTTCAACTACGTACAGACCTGAAGAATATGCTGTTTTAATCAGATTAGAATATGTTACCAGCAGGAATCACCACATCTGCTCCTTCCTTTGGTACAGCAAAGTTGTTTTCTGCAGAAGAATTCCAGAAGGACTCATTGGACCAAAAGCTATAAACACAAAAGAGAACAAGTTATCTATTTATTTCTAAAATGCTTCCATAATGTCTCCTATGAAGTATTTTTAAACACTTACTGCCATTAAACTGGAAGTTCTACTGAAGTTCACAAACGTGAAAAGAATAATAAAAGAACTATGACAAAACTAGTTACAGGTGTTATTCGTCAGCTGCAGAAACACAGAACACATGTCCATGCCCATGATTCATGAACATCACTGCTGTTCCTAATCTTCAAAGCACTCAACGTTTCTCTCTAATACTGTGAATGTTTCTTCCTCTCTGCACATGATAATGCAAAAAATAGAAAGTCAGTGAATGGAAGGCAATGCCCCACTCACTAATGACATCAAAATGATATGGTGTGGTAAATTCCCCAAAGAAAAAAGCTATTGACAAAATATACACATACACATAACCATTAGCAGGTCTTGGGAGCACAGCCTGGCCTGGGCTGTTTGGTTCAGAAGGACCTGAAGGACCTGAAGGACCTGAAGGACCTGAAGGACCTGGATTGCAGTTTCGAAAGAAGCATCTGTACACTGCAAACTCCACATCAATGTCTGACTCCGTGGGATCCACACTGAATGAACGTTTTCTCCTTGTGTTTTTCTTCCCGGACACTGAAAGACAAAAGCAAATTTTATTTTTTTAATTCTATTCTTTATTGCCAAATGTCATCACTTCAAAACCATTTTCAGTAAAAAGCAACTCTCTGCCTTAATTCCTTCACAAATAGTTGGGGCTCTTCTATGAATGTCTGTCACCACTATTGTGGGCATGAAATTTGATGGATGCTCTTTCTGACATAAAGATTACTTAATTAAGAAAACCAGCTTTTGGGGAGGGTTAGGAGCTTGGTCAAACTGCTGTAGTTTCGTATATCAGAACTATAAGGAAGTTCTGGAGGCCACTAAGAGTTGGGAACTAAGAAGAAAGCCTTATATCAAATCCTACATCAGATTTCTCTATTAAATTGGATTGCACAATGCACAAGCA